TCAAGGGACGAGCGCGGCCTCCTCGTGTACGGATGGATAGCCGCTTGCTGTCGCGCCCTACGTCGGGTTCTGCAAGTGGAGAGGACGCGTTCGCTCCCCTTGAGCTGATGGAGCCGGATCTCGTCGGGTTGCCTGTCATGGAAACTTTTCTCAACCAGCATGTCCCACTCTCAACGACACGAAATCATCATGTCGAGATCCCACTCCATCGACGAAGCCATTTCAAAAATTGCTGGATCAGCGCTGAGGTGCTTGTCAGTCTCCGCTACGTTGGCTGGTTGGCACGTTCTCAGACTTCGAAGTCTGTTCACTCACCTGGATCCCCGGGCTCATCGGCGACCTTAACATTGCTGCTATCAACTCTTTGGGCATGGACCTCCCATGTCTAGCGTGTTTCAACTGTCTCTTTCGAGGTTACCGCCAATTGCCATCCTTTCGAATAGGGCATAGTGAGGCTTTGATTTGAGATGAACGCTGGGGGCAATCTCGAGAACCTTGTCGCAGCTCTCCATGTTCCGCATATCCCATTTCGCTCATTCCGAAAACACCACCATCTGATCATCTTCTTCGGGAAAGGACCTGCAGAGTTGACCCAGCAAAGGCTGTTGAGTCCTCCAAAGACGGCTCATCCTCATCCAACAATTCCTTGTCTGTCGGCTGTTGCTGAAAGGTTTATTGGGCCAGTCTCCTAAACCGGCGTTCCATTAGGCAGGGTTGTTCCTGGCCGATCGTCTGCGGAACTCTACACACTGGAGACTAACGTCCGGGGATTTTATTGCCGAAGAGAACTTTACACTTCAGGCCTGGCTCTGCCCAGGCTGCTAGGGTCTTCAGCCGACAGATGGCCTTTGAGCTGAGGACCCCACCTGCCATCTCCTAGGCCCTAGGGACCCGGGTCGTGATCCAGAAGAATTCAGAAAGAATTATCCGTTATTAAGAAGATGGGTTCTTGTTATCGGCTCCAGGGAGCCCGGTTTTGGATGGGGGCCAAATGAAGCCATCTCTATTGGGCCATCACGGCAGATGTCATTTGCCACTTCTTCGCGCCTTCGGACCTTGCCACGAGATGGAAGCTCACACGAAAGTTTGGGCAGTTCCACGGTGATTCCACTAGTACATGGACATGCGCCTCTGAACTGATATCGGGCCGCTTTTCATTGCCGCGAAGAAGTCATCGAAGCACCAACCATCGAGCCAGCACAGCTACTCCTTAGCTTCTAAGCCTCTTCAAAACGTGGAGGTTAGTTGAAGTGGGTGAAGTCAGGCTTGTTCTTGGAATTGGGTGTTGCTGTTGACACAGGAATTACAGTTCGGCATGTCTTCGAAACAGAGACCAACGGTGATTGGCTGCCTTGAACCGTTGCAATCAAGGAGGCAAAATGCTCATCAGGGTCCAGCTTGCGCACTAAGCACGATTAGATGACACTAGGGGATTGTGTCAGAGGTTAGTCTGTTGCGGGCAATGGGCACTTCGTGACCGCTCTTCAATATCCCGTTTGCCCCGGTCTCTGCTAGGGGGGCGGAGAAACAACCAGGGTTGCAGGAACGTTCCGCACTCTCAGAGGCCTGGCTAGCGTCGCGACACCGGCCATGGCCCATGGGCAAAGAGCGAATCGTGAAAATAGAGCGGTTGAATTTGAGGGCGTCAAAGTGTTGGTGTGTGGATGGCACTTGGAGAGGTAGCGGTCGTCGACGACGGTCGTTGTCTGGCTGCAGCGGAAAAGCTGCTAGTGCGGCGCCACTCCCATCACCCGTCATCTCCCTGAAAAGGAACGGTGGATCATCTCCCTTGTATATCCTTGCAGCTTGTGTGGATCTTGTCTCTGGTGCAATCAAGTACCGAGTTCCTCTTTTTTCCTTTTTTCTTATCCTTTCCCTTTTTGCCCTCTCTCTCTCTCTGCGGATACCTAGGTATACTAATCCTGCCAGCCCCTGCTATGCATCGAATTGGGGATAGAGCGCATATTCCTGGGCAATGCCAACCCTCACTCGGACCTGAGGCATCGAAGATCCGGGAAGCCGCGAGACATTGCTGCCAGGCGTTGAGTGTTTACACTCCAGAGTGTGTATCGATCTCCGTATCCCATGCTTGTTGTGAGGGACACCAATAAACCGCAAGTCAAGGGGAGTGTACGGAGTGTGCATCGACAAGTTGAGCTTCTTTTTTTTTTTTTTTTTTTTTTTTTTTTGCCCGGAAGGCGTTTGCGACCCATCATTTCTAGGTGATATTTATCAAGAGAGCCTTCCAGACCTCCAAATATTGCCAAGCATCTCCATCTTCGCAATAGCCCTTGGTGGATGCTGTCCAAGTTGGGTATGGAATTTTCCTAAGAGATGAAATATTCTTGGTGTGGAGAGCAACGGGGGGCTTGATGGCAGCTTCGGGTGGAGGACAATACCCTGCAGACACGGCGAGACGGACACTTTTCCTGCTCAACACGTGAAGAAGAGAGATCTCTTGGGTTATTCTTCCACGGGCAATAGCTGAGTCTGCGCAAGGCAGACGATGACATGTGGTGCACTGGGAAACGACTGGAGAAACGGCAACATCTCCACTTGCGCCATTGTAGGATGGATGAGGGGCAGCGATGATCGAGGGTACCCCGGATCGTTGATGTAATCGCTGGGGCGTTTGGATGCTGACAAGCAATGCCTGGCCGGCTGGATGGCCGACCAACCAATGCTGCCAGATTATGGTTTCTCGTCCTTGTCGGCCAGCATGCCGTAACCCAAACACGAGAAGCAAAGAATCCTGATCATGGAAAGGATGGAAAGAGGCACGCTACGTCAGTCGAAACCCACTGGCCTCACAGACGACATTACCACCCCCCATGCGGTTTACCTCTAGGTACCAACCCCCGTCACACTCGACACAGGCAGATACGGATACCCAAGGCCACATGAACCGCAGGCCACCTTGGGAGCTTCACTGCCTCATCCCAGGCGTGTACGCTGGTACCCGCGTCATACATGTTAACAGTGATGGATATTCTGTGTGTCCTAGGCAGATGCAGCCACGGGAAAGATCATTATTGACGCGATTTCCGTGCATCCATCATGGAAGGGGTTCATTCATATCAGAGAGCGGACAGAGTTCGTCATCAAAAACCCAGGCTCATGTTTGCATGCAAGCCATTGGAAAAGCAACATGCATCTCATCAACAGCGATCGGTTCTTTGGAAGCGGATCATACAAGATACGCATTCAATGGAAGAATCAAGCACTTGACTTGTATCAACAGTGGCTATGGGGGCTTTGGAAAGCGGCAGCATATCGGAGCTGTACACTGTTTGCTTGTTTCGTGGCTGGCAACACCAGGTTGGTTCTTGATGACATTGAATGCGGTCTTCATACGTATAGCTGGGACAAAGTTAAAGTACGCGACTACCATAATTTGACTATGAGGCTCAGTGGCTGTTTGTCACTTATTGCCGGAATTTGACATTCCCACGGGAACAGTAAGGCTGGTCGTTGCCGCCAGGCCACACGGTCAAGAGCACTTTTTGTTTTTGCTCGGCAACAAACACATGTCTTGGTTGCGTTGAGTGATGATGGGTTACAAGCATGGGTCGTCATCGTAACAGAGATGCCATGATATGACGACAATGTCGAACCCTTCTGTCTTTGACCATGCATTCTTGCTGCCCAAACCCACGGTTGCGATGTGGTTCCAGCAGCACCCTCTCATTCAAGACCGCCCGCTCTCATCTTGTGGCAGGTCCCTTGTCATCTCCCCCCTCCCCCTCCCACGTATGAAGTACTCCGTACTCTACACAGCATGCAACAACGGGCGTGGAAAGCAAAGGGATTGATAGTACATATGGGAAGGGGCAGGACAGGACAGATCCTGGCGTGCAGTGCAAGTGCAGTATGCCTCCCACTTCCTGACCGTGTGACTTTCGTCCGAGTCTTGCAGGTACGTATCGGACCCAACATTTGACGCTTCTTTTCTGCTGGCAATTTTGATCTCGGGATCAGGTACGTAGTGTAGGTACTTTGCAGTGTTGAAAGCACGGGGGGATTTCTTTCTTGCGTCGTCTTGCGGTCGAATCGAATTGGCGGCTCCTCTTTCCCCTCCTCATTCGCTTCCCTCCACTTCAATACTCCGTACACTACGGATACATCGACTTCCTCACTGACGAACAAACCAAGGGCACAATCCCCCCCCCCCCCCCAAAGAGCCCCCGTGCCCCCCTTCTCTTTGCCTTGTCCCCTGCCAGTTGATGACAGCAGTGTCCGGGTGGGCACTGTGGAGGTTGTTTCAATCTTGCACACCCTTGCTCGAAACGCATCAATACGTTTACGTGCCTTACGTCAGTGGTAGCCGTCGAGAGACGCCCTGGTATCCACTTGGAGGGTTAAACGCACGCCGCACCACCTTTTCCTCTCTTTCACGCCCCCCGCTCTAGTTCTTCCCTCCCCCCGTCGTCAGAGAGAGCCCCTGTTCTTTCTCTCTCAGAAGTTGCTCAGAATCCGTCTGAGAGAGGTATTCCTTGGCGCTCTCATCGACATTGGCCTGTGGTTGCTTATTTCATCGCAGGCAAAGGAAGGGTGGGAGGAGACGGACGGGCAGCAGGAAGATACCAGAAGAAGGTATTCAGTACAGCCCTCGGGCCCACTTTGTCTGATTCTTTGCGCACTTCTCCAAGGCTCACCCCTACATTTTGCCCTTTCAAACGCCCACGCTACCTCTCGAACCCGCCCTGGTCTTTCCTCCTCGCAAGGATGCCATTGATATTGTTTGAATGCCAGTGGGTGGGACGCCCCCAAGCGAACGAGCGTTGAACGCAGTATCCGTATGAATGCCAGATGCGAATTTGCGTGCGTTGGAGTGGGAAAGAGACAAGAGAGAGAGAGAAAGAGAGGAAGACATGAGGGACCGAACCGACATCGACAAAAATACGCCCACGGCATTTCATTGCAGCCTGGGTAGGTATCCATACGGAATACTGGTATCCGTACTTTTCCAATGGCTTTGGAGAGACCGGAGACCTTTTCCCAGCAAATTGACGGGAGCCACTCGAGAGGAGCCAAAGCCGGCATCTCGACGCCCGTGATACGCTGCAGTTGGTCTCGTCGATGGAGTATGGGCAAGATGTCACCATTCAAAGTCCTTCTCTTGGTCTGCTCTCCACTCTTTTCACTTTCATGTCCGTTTTGACACTTTCACACTTTGCCGAGTGCGGAGACCGCAGAACGCGATGCCATCACAAGGCACGCAGGCAGGCACGCTCGCACACCACCACCATCACCACCACATCCATCATTCTTTCCCTCCTTTCAGCCAGTGGGACGGTGAGTGCTGTCATCAGGCATTTAGCTTCGCAAGGAGGAGGATGGTATCAAAAAGTCGTTGGACCGGAATACATGGTCCCCTACCCCGGCCCTGAAGCCATTCCCCTCTCAGATAGGTATCGCGACATCCATCTCAGCCCAAGGGGACTTTGTGGCGAGCAAGCGCCGTTCCGAGTCAAGCCATGGCAGGTCTGAATCTGGACATGATGCTGGCTGACTACGTATCCGGTATGGCGTAGATGGCACCTAGGGTCGGAGAATCGAGTTTTGATGTATTTGGTTCCCCTTCCTTTGCTTTGGCAGAGAAAGACCCTGCATATCTCATCTCTATTCTACAGGCATTGACGATTGATTAACTCATGGCTTGGACGTCAGGCAAGCCAGCCGTCCGAATCCACCTACGGTTAACTTGGGAACAATTCCTCTTTCCCTCCCTACTCCGGAGTACGATACCCCTCGCCCTGACTATCCTATCCGTACGTATCCGTCATGGTCGCAGGAGAAGCACAGAAATCATAGCGCACACACCCTTCCTCTACCTTGTTCAGACCCGATGCTAGTCTCCGTAGCCAGCATGGGGACTCTAAGAATCTGCACTTTTGGTCTGCCTTTCGTAGATGCGCGAGAAAGGAGAGTCTGCCCACCAACTCGAACCCCCATCCCGTCCCATTCCATGCCACGGCCGCCCCTCCCATAGTCTCCGTGCCCTTCACTACCCATCATCAGTGGCGCTTTTTTGGCAACTTCTGTTTCTTCCTACCCCGAGGGAGGCGCAATGCGTATCCGCATGCCCTAGACGCCGTGACGCCGTACCCTATCCTACGTTACGCTGAGCCCTGACCTTAAGTTGACTAGCCTAGGTAGAGGCTAGTGTTGAGCTGCTTGGATTGGAAGAGATGGAGGGGGAACAGAGCTCTTACCCGTGGCATGGCGCTAGAGGCGATGGCGAGCGGGAGAGACAGATACCGGCACCTTGTGGACTGGGGGGCTTTTTTCTCCCAATGCTGGCGCAGACGAACACCTACCTCACCTTGCCATACTATGCAGTAAGGTAAGGTAGGTATGTAGGCTTGCAAAGTCTCCGTGCAATACTTTGGTAGGTAGGCGAAAGGGCAGCATATGCTCGAGCGTGCTAGCCTTGCTCAAAGTATAGACGACGTACTCGGGTACTTGGGACGGGACGTGGTCGAGGCGTCAACAGCCGCGCTTTACGTTGGTAGTTCTACCCGTCAGGCTTGGTACCTGCAAGGCTCCCACCTGACTTGGGCGGTACAAGCCTGAGCCCTGCTCTTCACTTCACAGGTTTCCGCATCTGCAGTGTGTGCGGATACCGCTTTCTCTAATGTATACTTGTAGGTGCCCCCTCTCAGTCTCCTTACTCACTGGGGAGAGACTCTGAGAGTAGAGAGAGAGAGAGAGAGAGAGAGAGAGAGAGAGAGAGAGAGGTGTGTGTGTGCGTGCACACTTTCTTTTGCCTGGCTTAGGACAGCCGGGTATCCACTTCCCATGGTCCCTGCCTGTCTCTCCCCTCCTCACTTCTCCCACTCCATCTCTCTCATCCACACACCCCTTCCCTTCCGTTGTCGTCCTTCTCTCCTTCCTTGCCCGCCCCCCCTTACCCCCCGGTCGAACCCCCGTCCCTCTTCCCTTACTAAAGTGACCCCACCACACATCCTTTTCCTCTTCCTTCTCGCTGCCAAAAAATACCACACCCCCCTCTCCATCAGTTTTTTCACCCCACCCCTTCACCTCATCGCTCCACACAAGGCACTTTAACACCAAGTAAAGCGACGACATCATAGCTTCATTTGCTGTCTCTCCTGCCTGACCCGGAAGCACCATAGGATGTAAAAGCGTTGTTCCCTCGCCTCCCCCATCCCTCTTTGTAAAGTCTACACCTTGACCCAATTTTCTGAACACTCATCATCAGAGAGATCATCAGCTCCATCATCCAACCTCAAACCAAACCACGCATTACAGACAGAGCGCTCCGCCTTCTTTCCTGCTTGCCCTGTGCTTTCGGTTCGTCACAACTGAACAGAAAGAGATACAGAGCGCATTGAGAGGCAGCAAAAAAAAAAAGGCACGACGCTCCGTACACTACGTACACGCACACACAACACGGGAGAGCCCCACTATTTGCGAACTCGAGGAAAAAGGGAAGGGGAGAAAAAAAAAACCACACCAACGCACCTCCAATTATCGGTCGTCTTCTCCCGGCTGACTTCAGAGCCGTCCGCACTTTACACCGCACTACTGAACTACTCCTGGGGTCCCTGTCACGGCTCCCCAATTGACCTCGAGACTTTTCACCAAACCGTCCTCGACACCGCAGATCTTTCTCCCATTTCGACTTCGTCCCAGGGACGTACTCCAGGTCTCCTCCTCTTCCTCCTGGTCAACTTGTCAAAAATTGGGCCTCCATCTCTTTCTCTCTTTCTCTCTCTCCTCTCCCACTCTCATCCACAATCCCACATCCTCACTCACTCTACGCTACGGAGTACACACCTCTAAACCCACGCTACGCACTACCGCGCATCCGCTCCGCTCTCGCTGGTCTACACCTACTTCGTACACTACCTACCTTCCTGTGTACACACTCCTGTACCTCAACCTGGTCGTTCCCTCCCTCAAGGCTCCTCTTCCTCAGCCTGCCCCCCGGTCCTAATCTGAACCATCCTGCTACCCTACCTAATCGCCCCCAACCCTGTCCGCCTCGGCCTCTTTCCCACGGGATATTGGCGCTGTCGATCACTCTGAGTCGGAGTCGTCACAGCTGTCTGCAGAGAACGGGTCTCCACACAACTCCCATGTCCCGCTGACCACTGTGCAACAAGCTTCATACGACTCTTGCCTGGTCGGCCCAAACGATTGGTCTCAGCTCTCAACTGGTTCAAATACTCGTGTGTCAGTAGTCCACAGGCACACACTTAAACCTCGCTGATCCCCCAACCTCAACTCACCCAACTCCCACGGGATCATCCAGTTCTATCTGATCCGTAACACGACTTGGCTTCTTCTCAAAGCCGTTGCACTTGCATCCGATCAGCAAACGCTATTCCACCGGACATCTACCTTTGTTGACGCTCAACCTCGTCATCCCATATCACCACCACTACAACCACTCATCACCACCAACAACAACAACACCACCACCACCAACTATACCATCATGACTATGACATTAGATTCTCAGCAGCGATTCGGACCCTTAAACACATTCGACCACATGTCTTCCTACGCACATTCATCCTCCTCCTCCCCCCAGTTCTCAAACCCGTGGGCAAACACCTCATCACCTCAAGCTCCTCAGGGCTTGTATGCCCCTCACCACGGCCACTCTCTCAACTCGGGTTTGGGCTTGGATAGGTCACACACTGCTAGGACTAGCACCAGCAGCAATGCCTCATCTCTGGGTTCCTACGGACAGATCCCAGTGACGGCAGCTTCAGCAGGTAGTCTCCCCATGGCAGACCCTCTGCCTAGGTCGGACTTACTCACTCTTCCCCAAGATATCCTCAGTATCAACCGCATGGCTGCCACCTCGGCCCCTGCTTACGGTGATGCTCCCTACGCGACCGCCGCTTCCCCCGTCAACGCCACTTACACGGCTTCTCCCACCCCCTACGAGACCATGGGCTACGCACCTGCTCCCATGCGCTCTACCTTCGCCCTTGCTCCGGAACCCGAACACTCTAGGAGATTCTCTCACTCGTCAGTACCCTCAACTTCCCTGGTCGACGTTACAAACCCCAATGTTCTGGCTCGGCCCCATCGCAACTCAATGGTTGACTTTAACAACAGAGGAATTCACCACCACGACGAGCGCAGGAGCTTCGCTGATGCTCTCGACGCAAGCCATGGCATGCTCGCCATGAGCCAAGAAACCCCCCGCAACATCTATGGCGCCCGTAGCGACAGGGCTTCTGGTGACTCGTACGGCTTCCCCTCAACGCACTCTACCAGCTCTTCCGTGTCCTCCGCTTCTGGATTCGGCAACTACTATGGCGCCGACTCTGTTAGCGACTACTCTACTGCTGGCTCAGACATCGAGTCTGTCACCTCCCGGACTCTTCCTAGGCCCCATGGACTCATGGCACCCCAGATCCCGCCTGCGCCCCAATCCATGATGGGCCAGTTCAGCTCCAAGGTGTCATCCAGCACGCAGAAGAAGCACAAGTGCAAGGTTTGCGACAAGCGATTCACTCGCCCCTCTTCTCTTCAGACGCACATGTACAGCCACACTGGCGAGAAGCGTATGTCACACTCATTATCTTACATGCCAAGGCATGTTGCCAGATTATATATGCTAATATCATGATAGCCTTTGCATGCGAAGTCGAAGGCTGCGGTCGTCACTTCTCCGTGGTCTCAAATCTGCGGAGGCACAAGAAGGTCCACAAGGGCGACGCTCGCTCTGAGGCTGGATCTGAAGACCACCACTCCGATTAATCGGACTCAACTCGCCACATCTACATGTACAACAAGCTGTAACGGCAACATTGTTGTCCTCGAAATAATCCTCGGCGAGTAGGATTAGTACGAGCTCACGAGTTTTCCCGGTTCGAGTCATGACCAATAGTCTATACCCACTCTCGACACCAAAACACCCTTCACATTTGCGAGTGGCTCGACAACGGGGTCGTGATTTTTCAAGTTTTCTTTTAGACGGTTCCCGTTTTTTATCGGTTTTCACACGATACCATTCTTACAATCGTTATAATATCCATCTATCTGCGAGCGAAAGAGACAAAAGTCAGGCGGCGGCACAGGATTTGGCGGGCGGGTTGTCACTTTCGGATCATCGTTATAAAGGGTGTCTCATGATATGTTGGAGATCTTTTTACCAAATTTTTGGCTTATTTTTATCTGCGACCATTTGAGCCCGCGGGCTCCGGAACGATGCGGCAAAGTCGACGGCGCCTCATGGTGTTGAGGTACGCATGGGAAGGGGGGGACTGGAGGAGGAGAAAGGGGTACAAGGGCGTGGATTCACTTCATTGTCGATCGCTCAACCCCACACCACACAACCCCCAGGATACGGGTCTGGTTGGTGGCTGGACCAACCATATTCTTGTGCATTTTCGGCTTTCAAATGTTCGGAAGAGGAAGAAGATCTCCAAGAGGTCAAGGAGGACCTGGCGATACCCTCACCCTTGGCGTTGAACGGATATTGGGCTGCACTTTTGTTGTTTTCTGCGTTTTGTTTTTCCTCATCTGTTATTTTGTTGCGCGCTCAACATGTCATTCAAGCCCATTGGTATTTTCTGCCAACAGGGTTTCTTTTCTAGATGACGAACCAGAGGTTGGTGCTTTGGCGGCACACCTCGTAAAAACTCGACCCTGTTCCCAAACCGGGAGGGCGACTTGTACTACTAGCTTCCACACACGATGATTATACCCATCATACTAAGAAATGCCACTGCATTTTCTGGTTTGCATCGTCTGGGACATTTTTTTTCCTATGGATTTTTGAGACTTCGCTCCATGTCCCTCGTGATATGAGCGGCGAAGGCGGCGGCGGCGGCGAGTAAAGGAATGGGTTGTGATTTAAGGAATCCAATTAGTGGAGTAGCTGGAAATGTCACTGGATACGGGTATCAACGCACATAGCACATTGCGAACAGTATAATATAATAGTAGTACGACGAAGAATTTGGAAAGAAGATTCCCATCAACCATTAATGTTCATTCGAAAACTAGTAGTGCCCGTGAACTCCACAGTGAAGCTTGATAGATCGGCAACGCAAGATCAGACCACCTCTGATGCCATGAAAGCTCCCTGGGATTGTAGGAACGTTCGATCGATTAGTTGCAGGTGGTCAAGCATCAAATAGATGGCGCGGCACCGAGGGCACGGGGGAACGGTTCCTCTCCTCCGCCTTTGCATCAAGATGGGGAAAACGACAATCTGCATCCTCAAGTAGCCTGGCCCCCCGTGCTCTCGTGCACCATGCCTGCCATCTCATCACATATGCATCTCTCCCCGCAATGGGGATGAAGCCGAATGGGATGTGTGGTTTTTTTTTTTTTTTGGGGGGGGGGGGGGTTGGACCATGGACGGTTCGGCTCTCACCGACTCGCCACCTGCCATGCGATGCGGTCTATTCGGGCAATGATATCCCCATGTCATGGCCCTGAAATTTAGAGGGATTGGTAGGTATTCCGTGGTCTAGGTAGTGTGGTTCAACCACGGCGCGCGCGCCTTTGTCTCATCGCAAATCCAATCGCTTCCGCCGAGTGCGGAAGCTGAAAGTGTGTGTATACTGCCGGCCGGCACCGCATATGCGTGTGTGACAACCCAATGGTAGGGATAAGCCTAAATGAGGGTCGGGCTCACTGCCTTTCTGCCAAACCCAGGGCACTGCCAGGCACCCAGCAAAACGCCATGATTTTGATAGAAGGAGGGGGCTCTTTAGGGAAAGGGGAAAGAGGTTGCGTCGATCTCTAAGAAAGGGGGGAGGGGGTTCTGCGACTGTTCATGTGAAAACATGGGAGAAGCTGCCGCGTGGTCAGCGATCGGCGCGCAGTTGCGTTCGGTACGCGGGGCGCACTCACACACACACACATACACATGTTGATATGCTTGGTATAGGTATGTTAGCAAGGCTAGGTGTTAGGATGGGGTTGCGCCCATGGACAGATAAGATCATCCATCTTGAACGTGGCTCGCGGATTGGCAGGTTGGAAGCCACCGAGGGGTCGCTCGGGGGAGGCAAAAACCGACAAAAAGTCCTGATGGAAGTGGAGGCTCAAGGCGCGACGTTGTTGTTGTCGTTGCTGGCCTTGGTCAAGGTCACCTGGTCCGGGCATGTTAGCGGCGACTTTGTTTTTGGAACAAGGCGCCGTTGCGGCAACTGAGTCGAACGCGGCGACACGGAAGGGCGGCTAAAGGGGAGGGGGTTTGACTCGCCATGATGGAGGCGTTTCGGGGCGGAGACTCGGGGAGGCTACGGAAAGAGGCTAACGAAGACGGGGGACGTAGCAACCTTGGGTTACGTAGATAGAGGGGGGGAGCGCTATCAAGGATGGATACTTGCTTACGTAGTTTACGGAGTCCTCAAGGGGATCTCAACCAAGACGGCACTAAACCAACTTTGCTGTGAAGTGACGGATGGCGTATGGGCCAAAACGGAGATGACTAATTTAGTGCCATGTACGACGTGCTGCTAGTTGTAGCAAGAAGAGACGGATCCCAAAGAGGCCACTAGAATGGTCAATCTGCAATTCTGCCGCAGACACTAAGTCTTGTTGTATGCCCGTCCGTTGGAGCTAATGTATAGTATGAGCCGACCAAGAGGGGGGGAATGGGGGAACAAGGGACGGGAAGACCAATATGAGAGAAGATACAAGTTGGGAGATCGCACATGCATTGGAGGACTGACAGATTTGGGAGGTCTCAGTGTGGAGCACCCCGAGTGTGTGAGATGCAAACGAGGAGAGCACCTTATCGTTCGATATGGGATGAAGATTGATAGAGACTGGGAATGATGAGGGGAACTTTGTCATTGACAATATGTTGCATTCCACCACACCAAGGACTGTGAAGACGGGGGACTGGGATTTGCTGGGAGAAGGGAGCAAGGAGGTAGAGCTCCGCTGAACTGGATAAGTTGGAGATGGATGGGCTGGGGATGACGATGTAGGAACCGTAACAAATGGAGACTGCGGATCTTTGTGCTGCAAGTGGTGGGCAGGCCAAGGCAAAGGCTATGCAAGATGAGGCAAGCCTCAAAGTGAAGCAGATGCTTGCCTACGCAGTGTGTGCTTGAAAAGACAAGCTATCAGAAAAAAGCCTGATGGCAGATGTGGGAGGTGGAGAAAGTCGACAAAAAGTATGTGCCCACACCGTTGTTGTTGTTGTCGTCGTCGTGGTTGTTGTAACTTACCGTCGTTCTCAGCATCGAATTGCCTCATCCCAGCCGCAAGCCCCAGCTCTCCCACCGTCCCACGGGGCGACAGGAAGAGCCAACTTCGGCGCAACCAGAGACGAAGGGAAAAGTGGATGCGCGTGTTTCAGCAACATGTCAGACTCCGCACATGGGCACGCGTCGAGCAGCGAGCATCTGTTTGCTGGGATTTGGCACCAAGGTGAGCTCTGATCATTTCCTGCTCGAGAGATATCCTGAAGTTAAGCTCGATCAAGCTTCGTGGTGGGCTGAACGGGAGTGATTGGATGACATTGCCTTGGGCGGGGCGATCTTGGAAGAGACGGGTCCCGGCGGTGCTGAAGTCTGAACTGTGGACTATGCTGGGGACGTTTTGAATCTGATGCCTGGCGGTTCGGACCACAATGTCGGTCATGTATCCGTCCAGAGAAAAGCGCATGTACACTTGAAGAGATAGGCTCATTTTGATCATGGATACTTCGATAGCACCTTGGTCCTTGGGTCTACGCAGCGGACCCAATCGAACGGCATTTGGTGACTTGGTCCGGCTCAACTTCTCAAGACGGTCGGTCTGAGTACGGATAGTTTCTGAGCGGGCTCCTCTTCTTAGAACCAGGCTCTCCATCCGTACGAGATAAGATAGCGACCCCACTGCACACGACGTCTTTGTTTGATCCTCGGGGAGCATGGTGAGGTTACATCCAGCAGGACCAGAGCGCCAAATGTACCGTACTACCGCACCCGTACCGAGCCCGACCAGAAGCAGCAGGAAAAGGATACAATGACCCAGGATTTGGCTGGGATTTCTGCTCGCGAGGCACCCGATTCGATGGAACCAAACAATATCCAAAACATGACTTCTCTGGAGCTTCATGTCCCATGCCATCCCTGAATTCCATGGTGCTAGGTTTCGGTGGACATTCCACGGAGCCTGGAGGACGGCCAGCAAATGAGGCGACAAGGCGAACATTTCCAAGCCCTGCCGGACGACCGACGATCCGCCAGGTACCGACACCGACACACACTCATGTCCATCCTTCAGCGGATACGCGCGTGACAAGTCTCTGAGCCTGCCGTGACCGGCTTTCCTACCCCAGATCACGGGAACGGGGATGTCCAGTTGCGGTCCTGCAAGGATTCTGCCATTACACCATCCGAGTGATGTTGTGCTCGAATCGCGATGCAGTGCAGTGCTAGCCTAGCGAAGCGCTGCGTGAAATAATGGAAGCCCTGGGTGCCAAATGCGAAGCGATGCTGAGCAAGCGAGAGACGGCATTGCTTGGCACCCGTCTGTTGATAGCGCCTTTGTCCACCATCCGAGGTTTGTGATGGCATGCGGAGGTTCCGCCCAACTAGCGAGGTAGCATGCGGTACCCGATATGCAGCGGGCGCGCCAACGACGGCAGCGCAACGGCAAAAAGCTGGCGAGGCGTCAAAGTGGCCGCAGCCGACCACGGAAGGTGAAGACGCTCGAGAGTTTGTGCTCCCCAAGTCCCAAGAGCCGTAGGGCTCCGTCATCGAGATGTCGGCGCACGAGACAGGCGGCTGCTTCAGGGGGGGAAGCTTGTTTACATCAACGTCATAGTGGCCGCGGCACAGGCTTTGGTCCTCCTCTCTCGTGTCGTGTGCGGTGATTTAGGTTGTGTGTGGTGATTGGAGTCGGTTATTGGGTTGGATGGGGTGGGTGGGTAGCAGATAGCACAGCTAGTGCCTGTAAATGCGCCGTCAAGGGTACTGGGATGTGTGGGTGGGCGGGAGTGTGTTCGTTGTTTGGCCGACTTGGTGCAGGACGGATACAGATAGGTAGTAAACGTGCGTGCCCGTGCCCGTACGGCATCGTACCGCGGCCGCGCTGGCGGCGGGCCATCTGGCGGCCGGGGAATGTCACGGAGGGACAGGTCGGATTCAATTCGCAGGCTTCGCTATCCAGTACCTATGTAGCAGGCGCAGGCATGTAAAAGGTGTGGCCGTACTCCGTACTGTACAAATACCCCCTCGGTTGGAGGATTCTTGGATCGAAAGCAGCCAACGAGCAGTCGCGCTAGTGCGGCTAGTTGCACGCAGGCCCAGCATTGGATTGGGGCAAGGCAGACGCCTCTCGAGATGGGATCTTCAGGGTCCTTCTGATGTTCCTAGAAACCCTAGGGTCTGAACGCCCACCCCGGATTTTTTGTTCGCTGGGGAAGAGTGAGGCGTGGGTGGTGCACGCTTGGGATGATTTTTGGTCCACGGTCGCTTCGCTTCGCAATGGACGATGCATGTCTACGAACCAAATGCGATGTAATTGCTGTCTCGGCCAGTGAACGAGGCGTTTCTGTTGATTCGATTGAATGCCTAGGGTAGCCCTCTGTTTGCCACAAGGCTAGGTGTAAGTTGAAGTTGGCTCCCAACCATGAAGGGGTTGCGTCGAGAATAATTGGAGGAACTTTGGAGAGGAGAGTGTGGTAGAAGCTGGAGGGTTGGGGATGACTTGGGGGTGGGCATGCTCATGTTGTCACGCATCCCTCGTCATTTGTTCGCCTTCCCGTTCTCATCAGGTCCTTCCTGTACCCTCGCAGAGTTACAAGTTGCAAGTGCCTCATATCCTTGGCCCAGCAAGGCCGAAGCGAGGAATGACATGCTGCCCTCAGTAACACGAGCGATATGGAGCTCTCTCTCTCTCTCTCTCTCTCTCTCTCTCTCTCTCTGTTGGGCAACTGCATGAAGACATCACCAGCGGCTCCGTCTCCGATGCAAGTCATCGTCACTTCCAGCCTCCGACACACCGCCAATTTCCCACGCAGGAGCAGTAGCGGATATGGGCAGAAAGAAAATAAAAAGACATCACAACTAAACAATGTGACGGGTTCATCGACCCCCAATCGGCAGGCACGCCCGGCCGGTACTGCGGACAGGTATACAGGTATCTTGCAGTGTCGTACCTGCTAAAGCTGCACTCCTCTTGCCTAAGGTGCCTAGGCTAATAAGGCATGTACTACCTGTGCTACAAGGCATCCGGAAGGAAAGGGCACATCTGCACTCTGCACTCTGCACTCTGCACGGGAAAGCGAAGAGGGTGTGGAGGATGGGTGGATGCCGTGGTTCGTCGTTAGAATTAATAACCCAGTCTCGGTGACGTCGGTGGCTTCACGAGCGGGACTAAAGCGGGGATAATGACTTTGTGGTATTCCCACTCTGAGCCGACATCCACAAACGTCATTATGCCACGACCGCCATGGGGTCCGGCTCATCTAACTGGCTTACGATTCGCCCATGACGAGAAAAAGGGGGAGGGGGGTGCTTCAGTAAATGTCCAAGACTCGCTGCGGGATACGTACTTCAGCCTACTGCGTACACACCCCTCCCTTCACGGCTGCCAAAAAGAAAAGAACTGCAACGACCACTTCGGGCTAATGCATGCAAGGTAGGAAGGTATCGCGACAAAGACGAAAGATGCCTGCCTCAGATCCCAAGGCGGTGCTTCCTTCATCTCTTACCTGATGGATATGTCACTGAAAATTCGTTACAGGAAAATGAAGAGAACAGAAAATCGTCAATTCAGTTCCATGCAACTCCAAAGAACCCTGCCACCGGCCCCAAAATCTCTAATTGACCCCACTGCGAAAATACTGTGCACCATCGCCGATAACAAAAGCAACAGCTACGGGGTACCGAGTACGGATAGCCATACCTTATTCATTCGTACGGCGCAGGCATGGTGCATGTTCTCTCAACCGAAGTTTCATGTTCCCTGTCGACGCATTTCATCTCATCAAAGAACGAGAGAAGAAGCCAACCGACCCTTATTTCCCTGGTTTCTATTTTTCGCAACCTCCTCCACCCTTTTTCAAAGTTCTCTTTGGCACCTCCACCCATGTCGAAACACAAGATCTGCCGCAGGCCCGCAGCTCAATTGATGCCAACCCTCATGGTCCATGAACCATCCGGCATCCTTCGTCCCTTGACAGCAGTGGCCACAGGGATGTCCGTGTCTCGTCTTTTCGCTGCCCGTGCATCGCAGTCGCAGTCGCCTCGTCTCTTGGGACGGAACCATCAAGTAGGAAATAGGGGTCGAGGCATGTTCCTGGCAAACATTGTCCACTACGGATACACTACCAGACGACACCACGGCATGCCTTTCCAGAAGAAACCGTGTTCCTGACCACCCACTGACCGCTAGCTGCGCAGGAGACTTTACGCCATGTAGGCTGCGGCACCAACTGCCCTCCATTGACAAACAGAGGCATCCAGTGCCCGGACGGATACAGCGTTTTGCCTTGTCTCGAGCTCCAACAGTGACGCGCACCTCACACCCTCAGGCGCTACCTTCCACCATGGCATTTTCGTAGATGTCCATGTTCAGGCGCCAGGAAATACCATCATCCTGAGGCGTCGAGCAGCTTACGGAACCAAGACCAACCGTGTTGCACTGCCATTGCGCCGCCTTCTACAGCATCTATTCGTACCCCCCATACGCCATGCCCGCTTTTGTTTACTTCGACAGACCCCTAAAAGAGAAAGAAAAAAAAACAACGGCGGGACGATGCGGCCACACCCTAGACACCGCAACGCCAATGCTCTTCAAGTCTTAGACAGGCTTAGAGGACGGATAGACCATACGAATGATGCTCGTTCCTTAGCCCAGGGTCTCCTTTGCTCAATTGCCCAATCCAACTCAGTCCTGTCCAAGGTTCGACTGCGGTTGCGACTCCTCTGACCCGAGTCAAACGCACCCTGTGCCAGTGCGGAGAGTTCAGCAGATGAACGTTGCCTTACGGATACTTGACCTCTACCTGCAGCCCTCTGTCGCCTGTCGCCTCCCGCCGGCCTGACAGCGCTGGGCTCACCTCAGTATTTTTTCAATGGTCCTGTGCTATGCCCCAGCGCGAGAGCCATCCGCCCTCCACCACTCATGAGCATCAGAAAACACTGAATCCCAGCGCCTGAGATGGCATCCTTGCCCATAGAACCAGCCTCACTACTCCAGCACGACCAATGGCTTTTGCTAGCGACACAACACTGCACACCGGCACGCCATGGGCCATTTGCTTGCCTCTCCACCACAGTACGTCTATATGGAAATTGGAAACAAAGAGAAAAGACACTGCAAAGACCCCCCTGTTCAGAAGTCTGCACAGTACGTACGGCGTACCATCAACGACTCACAAACCGGTCACCGTGGCCAATGGAAGCAGCTATTCCAGCCTTCAGATGCAGTACCCTGAATTGCCACCACGAAACTACCGGGCATATTCTCCTTAGTCGCAGTCAGGCACCTCCCCCCCAACCACCAGACATGGCCAATCGCCGAGTCCTTCACTTTCACCATCGAGCAGGACAGGACAGCCTCCCTCCCGCCCCCGGTCCCTGTAAAGTCCCCGCGGCGCCGGCCTCTTCACCGCTCAAATCAGCCAACGGCCCCGTAACCGGACTTGCGCAAACGGACGGGGACAGACCATCAAGGTTCGCCCTACCTTACCTTACCTTGCCTTGCTGCAGTGCGGTCTCCGTCACCCGGTCCCCATCCTGTCTCGCGCTACATCCAAATTCGTGCCTACAATCGATCGTACTGGTGGTTAACAAGACCCCCCTTGCGAGATTTTCTGACATCCGTCGGCCTTGTTTTCTTAGTCTGCTTATTTTTTGCCACCCGACATGGCCCATTCAACGAGCATCATCACCATCGTCAGTTCAGAATCAAGATCCAAGACAAGGAAATGTCGAGTGAAATGTAATGCCTCAACTTGAAGCAATTGGCTCTTATCACTCTGGATCCTGCCGGGGGGCAACGGGAGGGGCCCCAAGGGTCCTCTCCGAGATGAAGGCAATATAGCCTCGACGACGGGAGGTGCTCCCGATCGGGAAGCTTGCAGCCAGCTTTCGCATCGCCTTTCCTGCGTGAAGGGTTCTAATGCAACAAAGCAAGCAACGGCAAGAACCCGATATCGAGAATTGGGAGAGCCATGTTACCATGTTTCTGAGCTGTTTGTCGCCAGGGCCCCAAGAAATGCCCGCATTCGGGAGTTTCGCGCGTATAGCGAGTGAGCAGAGCATGACAAGAACAGAAGGTTGGGCCCTGGTGCAAGTGCGTGGCTGCCAGACCACACAGCCAGCAGCCCTATCTTGGCTGCTACCTGTGGCCTTGAAGTCAGAATCTAGGTGCTGCATGTACATTTCAAGGAAGTCATTGCAAGTATCTCGGGTATGGCCATGTTCTCGTGTCCTTCCGATGTAAGAATCAACATGTCTCGTCGGGTCGGGGCGGCGGCGGTGGTTGCTTCGGCCGAAAGCTATCAATGTGAAGCTCACCTCTTCGTCTCACCCAAGCCCTTGTCAAATCACATCCAAAGGCACACACACACACACACACAATATAGAGAGCTACAGTGTTGAGATGTAGTCCACTTGCACGGAAACATCCGTCTCAATAACCCTCAGGAAGAGGAAAGAATCCTTGTGTAGATGAAATCAAATCTACGCCCTTAGCTGGCGATCATCCGCATGTACAAGACAGTGTCTCACCCGCACGAAATAAACGCCATCCCAAGCTCTCGAGGACACGGGGGAGATCTCAACGCCGAGGGGGGATGCCTACCTACATCAGTGGTTCACGAGAGCATCAAGGCGGGCGGAAAGACGCAGACTTACACCGCGAGCGGACTAAGCTTTAAGACGTTGACTTGCCCAAGTCGCCGCCATCTACGATCTCAAGCCTTCGTTTTTCACGCTAGTACAGTGTGATTGTGTAGTGCTTCGTGCTTGTAGGCCGCTCATGCTGTTTCCGGGCGTGAGTGAGCGAGATATCGTGAGCTCGCTCGCTCGCTGTTCTGGGATAAGCGCAACGTCTTTTTCCCTTCTCCTCTCCTTGCTCGGGGCGTGTGTGATGTGTGATTTGTGGCTCGTCACGAGTACCAAGCTCAAGCTCGAGCTCTCAAAACCCTCCAGCTCATAGCTCACAGCCCCCAAGTTCCGGACATCTCGAAACTAGGTATGACATTTTTGGTTTGGTGAATCGCAAAGGTCTTTATAGGTACACGAAACCACCTTTCCCCCCCGTCGAAACGATCTACCCATTCCGGCCGACACTCACCCACTCGCTCATCTACTCACTTGTCTTGCTTCCAGACTCAGAGCTCCTAGCATACAGTAGGTAAAACGAGACCGAGGAAGGAGTGGGGGGCGTGTAAGGCGCTGTATTAGGATGAACCAGTCTTTGCCAGCGTTACACAGTTTCGAAGACATACCGGCAGTGGAAGAGGAGGGGGAGAGGGAGGGAAGCAGCGTCCAAGCAAGAGAGATTGGGTGATCGAAGGGTTCAAGAGAGAGAGAGAGAGAGAGAGACATGTACGCAAGCAGCTAAGCTCACAAGCGACATGACGATGATGGTGCTGGCAATAACTTCAACGTCGTACAGGCACGTAGGGCGAGACATTTTCTGGCGGAGGGGCAGCTTCAGGGGGGGAAGGATTTTTTTTCCCTACGTGGCTGAGACAAGTGTTATGAGACAATATCAGGGGATGGATAGAGAGGAAACCGGTACACACCAGAGTACACCAGAATGACATTCCTCTCCGTATCCTCGTCATCTTCATGAGCACCTTAGGAGAAAAAGATGCTGGGGCACTTGACTGCATCGATCACGATGGACGGCAAAAGAGGAATGTTATTGTAAACCTTGTTCGATTCTGGTTATTAAGCTACCTATGGCACTCAACCGCCATGAAGCTACTGCTAATGTCTTCAAAGCTGGGTAGAAACAGCCTCAGCCAAGAGTTATTGGCCGAAATTGAAAAAAGAGAATTTCTTTCCTCCACCTCATACCTCCAAGTTCAGAAGAAGCCTTGATCCCTCCTATCCGACCTTGGGAAACTCCAAAAATGTCTCATTTCGAGACGACAAAGTGAAAGAAAAAATGAAACCTGATTGATAGTGATTGGTGTTGTTTGGTTGTTTTGATGTGTATGCGCGCGACCAGCTCGATAACAAAAAGGAGCTGTGTCCAGTTGTAGTGTACAAGTAAGTTGCTGGGAAAGAACCTCGCTGATTGTGTCCGAGAAGAGAA